TTTAAAATAGAGGCTACAAAGCAGGAAAAAACAATATTTCTAATAAGTTAATCTTTATTTTCATAACAATAGCTCATCATATATAATTTGCACTAAGAAGAAATCAGTAGGAAGCGGTTTTAAGAAAATAAATCTGGTAAAAGATGTCATCATTGATGATTTTATTCTCTACACTGTAAGAAATCCAGTATGACTAATACTACAGTTTTATATGTTTTGACATGCTGGCATAATCAGCAACACAGACCTAAACAGTTAACTAGATGGGAATACCATGGAAGTTTGACATACTATGATACTAAATAATTAGCATATTCATATACAATGGCTTTTAAATTGTGTAGTAAGGCATTTCAAAGAATATTATGATTTTGCCTTCACGGTAGTGTAAAAAATCATGGTATTTTTCATGACATACTGTATTTTTATGGCAATCTTTTTGTACATGAAATTAAATCATGAGTTTGTGGTTATGTAGTACAGATTTGTATTTATTTATTTATTTTCTGAATATAAGTTGAATGTAACATGGTAGCATTGAGGAACCTTTCAACTTTTGTTAGTGAAGGTATATTGTCTACATTGAGGTTCATTCTATTTTATATTTGTGTAGTATCTAAACAATTTAGCACCACAACTAGTGTCATAACAGGTTGTACATCAGGTAAAGGCTTTCAGCAGCATTCTTTAAAAAGCATCAAAGTTGGCATCACCACATCTATGTTAGAAATACATGAGAAACTTATCCAGCTCTGACTGAATCATAACTTTCTATATATATATATATATATATGCAAAATTCAACATCCAAAACACTCCAAGAATCTATTTTCTATGCACATTCTATGATAATATTATAGTATCTGACATTATTCCATGTTTGGAGCACCTGTGCTTGTATCCAGTGATGCAGTAGAGTGAAGGCCTTGAGTTTCTTCCAGGCTTTCTTTGTCTTTCCCACTGTGTGAACTCTCACAGCTCTGAAGCCATGAGCCACAGGGCTACATACCTGAGCCCTCTCCCTGTGGCTCACCGTTAGGCCTCTGTGAGGTATGCAGAGAGAAAAGGAAGAAGTTCAGAGAAGCCCCCAATGGATGAAATGAGTTACATTCCACTTTGTACTCAACTCACGTAATCTGAGTTGGCCTCAAGTAGTTCTTCTGCCTCACTGTCTTCAGAGCTACAGCCTCCGTGTTCACATCTCACTGCACGCCTCTCTCTCCCAGACCTCAGAAAGTCCACCGCAGAAGACTTCCGGAGAAGTGCTAAAGTAAGTAAATAAGTAAGCAAGTAAGTAAGTAAGTAAATAAATAAATAAATCATTTATCATAGGGAACCTTCTACATAAACTACACATATGGAGTTCAAATGCATATTAAAAAAATTCTGAAAAATCTTTTTCACTGATTATTCTACTGATAATTAAAAAAAATAAAAATAACCGTGTATGTCTTCTTTTCCTCAGTACTATTAATCATTATTAATTGAATAACAATTTAATTAAAATCAATTATCGCAACCAACATATTAAAAGGTATGCTTAATAGATTCACATTGTGCACAATTTTAAAATATAATATTCACTAATCTAATATAATTAATAAATGTAAAATAAAATCCATAAATATATATTATATTATTAATATACATTAATAGTTATTATACATATAAAAATACAATATAATAGTATAACATATTATAAAAAAAACACTCTAAAAAACTGTCAATTCATTATATATATATATATATATATATATATATATATATAAAAAATATAAAAAAAAATATAAAAATACAAAAAATAACATACACAATACACAGTAGAATTTACAAGAAGCCTAAAG